CCCCAAAACCCCAAAACCCCAAAACCCCAAGGTACTTGAAATTAATTTATTTGGCACATAGATTATTAATTTAAATCGTTAAGAAAATTTGAAAATATGCAACCAGATTAATTTGATGACAATTTGCTTGGTAGTGGGAGAAATCCTTTGATTCCAAGATCATAAGTTCTAGATGTCTTGAAAAATCTTAATGTAATTTATGCTTCAACTAATGTAATATACAGATAAAAGAAGGAATATTCACTGAAGATGAATTGAGATAGTTAGAAAATGGGTACTCTGTTTCAGAAACAGATGGAGATGATAATGACATGATGTCAGTAAGATCAGGTTAAAGCAATCATTTAGGAGCCAGATCAATTTAGAGTCCTATGACAGATTTCTACGAAAACATGGGCAGATAAGCAAGAACTCATCATGGGAGATTTACTGATGATTTAATCAATAGAATAACCTCATAAAATGAGGGTCACATCCAATCATAGCCACAATTGGATGAGCAAAGACTTCGCATGAACTAAGAAAGGTCAATGTTGCATGCTGAAATAGCAACTCAAAAAAGCAAGTATCTCAAAAGAATGACTAATCTGGAAAGACTCTTAGACTAACTTAAATCAGAAAAAAGAGAACTCCAATCAGTGATAGAGACCTAGAAATAAAATTTCAAACTCTAACTTGTTTAACAGGACCAGAAAACTTAAGATCAACTCAGAGAGATTAAGGAATAGCAGTATAAACTCTAGGGATAAGTGCCTTAATTCAAAGAAAAGCTAGATATGTATAAGAAGGAACTTACTTAATCAAATCTGATAATTTCTGAGGAGACTTATGTGGAATTAAAGGCTAAGCATGAAGATTAAAAGTCACTCAAGGAGTATTTATAAGTCCGCATTTATGAACAGCTTGATAAGTACCATCATGAAATTGAAAATCTTCGCAGATCTAATGATGAACTTGTGGAAGTCAACATGAATCTCAAAATGAAGAGCGATAGAGATCAAAGGGAAATTGAAAGCTTGAAAAAGATAGCTCGTGAAAGAGAGGAGGATTCAAGAAGGAGAATAGACGCATTAGAGAGGAGAACCAAAGAACTAGAGCAAGACCTCCACAGAGTCACAACTCAAAATAAAGTTATGATGGAAAAAGGAATCAGCATGAAAGAAGTTGATGAGCATCATAAGTAACTTGAAATTGATTACAGATCACTCTAAAACAAGCACAAAATGGTCGAGGACTAGTTACTGAGACTACAAGACTAAAAACTAGAGGTAGAGAGGAGAAGTGAATCGTTGAGAAGGGAAATTGATATTCTTAATCAAGATAAAACTTTCCTTACTAGAGAGAATGTCTCAATTGAGGAAAGATATAAAAGAGTAGAGGATAAGCTAGATAGAACTGAAGCTGAGCTTCTCGAATAAAAGAGAATAGCTAATAATTACATGGAAAGAGTCCTCTCAACAAATGATGATGTGAAAGGAAAGTTTGAATAGCAATACACTCAAGAGATCAATGATTTGAAGGATAGACATGCCAGAGAATTAGATCTTGCTAAACAAAATCTGACCGATATTTATGAGAAGAGACTTGACTACATGAGAGAATTGAAGGATTCTTATGAAAGAAGAATCATGAAATTAGAATAAGACTATACAGATAAGAATAAGTCCTATGAAGAGTTGCTAATGGAGTATAGATAGCTTTAGAAAACTGCTGATGAAGAAATCGGTAGAACAAAGTTAGCAGTAGCTAGTAGAGGAGATGAATGCCAGAGAATTAGGCATCTATATGAAGATAATATGCTATTAGTCAAGGATTTGAAGATTGAAAATGAGGCTTTGAAGAGCAAAATAGATATCTTGAAAAGCGAATATTACAAGTTAGAAAGCATGAACAGACAAGGAAACGCTGATATCAAAGCTGAGTTGGCAGTTTGCAAGGAAAGATTAGGCAATTATGAACTTATTGAAAAGGAATTAGACCAAGCCATAATGAATGTCGCTAACAATGATAACATAGATGGAGATCCTATAGATTCTGTTGGAAATGCTCTAATTTAAACTATTACTAGTGCACCTACAACAGCAAAACGAAGAATTCAATAAAGTCTACTTTTGGCAAATAGACTCTAATCAAAGTAGAAGGAAGTTGAGGCACTTTAAAAGGAAATAAAGACCATGAAAGATAAATTAGAGAACTATGAGTCAGAATTAAAGTTCCAAAAGCGAGTCATAGATAAAACTAACTAACCAGCCTCTTATATGATGGCTGATTTAGAGAAATCTGAACGAGAACTCTAATTCGCCTCTAAAAAAATAAAGAAGCTCGAGGAGGAAATCAAAAGACTAAATAAAGATAATGATGCTTTAGTTCAAGTAAGTCAATTTTATATTAATCAATGTCTATTATAGTAAAAGAAAGGATTGGCAGATGACTTGCAAAAGCTAATGGCTAAAAGATAAGATATAGAAAACTTGCAAACTGCTCTGCAAGGTATTATCTCCCATTCCTCAAATAGAAAGATCGATGTTGATGAACTCAAGCATAAACTAGCTGACAGCATTAGATAAAATATGAAGGGTAATAAAGGATCTTTCAAGGAGAACAGTCAAAAGAGATTCAATAAGAGCAGATCAAGATCTCCCAGATAGTTCTTAAGCTCCTATGATGAAATCCCTGAAAAAGGATCAGCTGTTAAGCATCAATAAGACCCTGATGTCCCTGCTTGGTATAAATCTCTCCAAAAGCATAACCATAAATGAAGTACAAACTTACATAGATATACACAAGAATATTTTAATTGACTTTTTATTTTCTGAACTACTTAACTTTTAATTAAAAATTATACCGTCCTTATGGGGTTTTGGGGTTTTGGGGTTTTGGGG